CCTGTAACGATTTCCACTCGATCATGATGACCATCTAAATTTTTTTTCTTTAATTTATTTTTTTATTTCGTTGGTTATGTTGTCACGTCGTTGTGCAATGTGTATATGTGTTAGTGTTAAGCCAAAATCTTCCTCTCTCTCTCACTCTCTATGTATGTCCATGTAGTAATCTCGTCCTTGAATCCGTCATCTGATCGTTTCGATAATGATCATCATAATAAAATAGACGAAAAACGAAACGGGCTATTTCGATCAATCCAATCTAAAATGAGCATTGAGAAAATTGAATGAAAGAAACAAAAACAAAAAAAATTATAACGACAAACCAGAATTATAATAAATGAAATTTGAATGACCAATGATTATTTCTTTCTGTTCAGTCTTAAAGAAGAGTAGAAAAATCAAAGAAACAAAAAATTATTGCAGCCTAAAGACAAAATCAAGGTGTCAGTATTAATTGTATGCATTTTTCATTCTCTCTCTCTCTCTCTCTCTCTATTTTTACATTGAAGAGTAGATCATCAAATCCAATGAATAATAATAATAATAATAAATTTACATTAGGTTAATGTGTGTTTTCAATCAAAAATCAATCAAATTTTATACATTGATAATATTCTTCGATCTCTTTCTCTCCCACTACTCTTTCCTATTTAAAATGACAAGTTTCATAGTATCATAGTATATTTTTTTCTTCTTCGTTTTGTTTCAATGTCACATCATCATCATCATCCGATGTTCATTAAATGGATGAATTTTGTCGTTATTTTGAAACAATCGTATCAGAGTTTGTGTGTATGTGTGTGTGAAAGACATTTTGTTTTCAAATGAAAACAAGGTGAATAATAATAATGATGATGATGATAATAAAAATTGAAATACAGGAGCAACAAGTTCAAGTTTTTATTTTATTATTTTTTTTTTGGTCGTTTAATGTCTAAACGATATCGAAAAAAAAATTCTTTCATCAAAAAAAAATATCCATTCAGTGTATGCTGGTGAGATTATTCAAAAAAAAAAAAATTATCACTTTTAATCATAAGGAATAATCTCTTTTTATGTGGTTATTTTTTTGCTTTTTCTTTCGTCAAAAATTCTTGCTGTTGATAAACGGCCTAAAGATAGGCCATATAATTTACACGTTGATGATGATGATGATGATGATGGTGTTTGTTCCACATTCATTTAGTTTTCCAATTTTTCATTCTTTTACAATTTATCCCTTTTTTTGAGAAACATCCTTTTTATTCTTGTTATCATTATTGTTTGGTAGCTAATTACCAACTATAATCATCAACTGATCTAATACTATCAAAAATGTCACTATTATTGCCATTTTTCATGACCATAATTATATGTAGAAAAATAAAATTTTGTTTCGACTGAATTAACGCTGTCATATATATGTTAAAACTATAGTTTTGTTGTTGTTGCTGCTGCTGTTAATCACATCACAAAATAAAATAGAATAAAAAATGTACAACAATAATAATTTGAAATGTAAAATTGATTGATGAATCACTAATCATATGATGATTATGATGATGTTTTACTAACTAATTTTAACTAATTTTTTTCTCAATGTTCTTCCCCCAAAAAAAAAAAATTCAGAGGTTCATTTTGTTATCATTGTTTGAATTTATTTTAGGCTAGTTCCCTCCCGTTTCATGTCGTATTCCTGTGTCTTTATATTAGTATTGATATATCTGAGAAGAGAGGCATAATAACAAATTAGAAAAAAAGAGAAAAATCTGTTTAAACCTTGTAATGTCAAAGATGTTCGTGTTTTTTTCTAGTTGTTGTTTTTTGTTGAAATCCTCCTATTATCAATTTCCTTTTTTTCTGAACTAAAATTGCCCAAAAAAAAACAACAGCAGTTGTAGTTAATTTTGTTTTATTACCCCTTAAATATGATAAAAATGACAGTGATAAACTTAACCGGAATACGATATTGGGTGTAGGCATTTTTGTTTTTCTGTCTCAAATAACCACACCTCAATGAACGGAATTTTAATTCCGGAAATCATTTTTTTCCTAAAATTTTTTCATGTGTATCCATAATTCAGCTTTTCATAGAAAAAAAATTGATTTTTATATTTATTTTCATTTTCCGAATGAAAATGAATTAATTCACAAATGGAAACGAAAAAAAATGAAAAAAATAAAACAAACAGAACACAGATGTTTTTCAAGTCATTCGTTCATTCCAAATGATACAATGGTAATCACGTACAAATGAACAATTTTTTCTCGATCATATTCGTTTGTATAATTGAAAAAATTGAATTTAGTTTCGATTTCGTATTCATTTTGTTGTTGTTGTTGTTGTTGTTCATCAACATCAGTTCTGGTTATGTCATGTCTGTTTTAATAACATTATTTAATGTTGAATGAGCATTATAACTGCTGCTGATTATATTACCTGTATGGATCCAAAGTTTATTTGATGGCCCCGTTTTTTTTCTGTTCAATTTATTATATGTCCAACTTCCACCATGCACACAAAACACAAGGACATTAATACGTGAAAAACATAACTAAACAACGCAGATGCTCTAATTAATTAAAATTTTGTACATAAAATTGTAAATTAGATATAAAGATATCGTTTTCGGTGTATGTATGTGTGTCCTCTATTTGGTTAGTCACAGGTTTATGTCGTCCACCTGGATGTTGATAATTTTTTTTTTCATTTTCCATTTTCATTATGTCATTATTTTTTTATTATTTTCCAATTTCATTTTTTTTACCATTTTATCATCCAGTTTTTATCATTCACTGTTTAATTTGTTCAATTTGATTTGATTCAATGCGATTCGCACGAGTTTTTTTTCCCCATTTCCAATTCCAAATAAAATTGTAACAAATAAACAGAATGAAGCAGAAGGAGGAAATAAACGAATCGTAACGAATCCAATCGAACCAACTCAACAATTTTTAGTTAGCAAACAAAATTTTTTTTTGTTTCTAGATCAACGTTTTCCGTTTTATTTAGGTCATATCCAAACAAAAAATCGAACCAACTCAACAATTTTTAGTTAGCAAACAAAATTTTTTTTTTGTTTCTAGATCAACGTTTTCCGTTTTATTTAGGTCATATCCAAACAAAATCTTTTAAGCATTTTTTCCTTCTTCTTCTTCTTCTTCATCTTCGATCCAAGAAAATTAAATTAAATTAAAAATTGGCACAAAATACGATTGATGATGATGATGGTGGTGGTGGTGGATTGTTGTTTGGACACGATCATCATCATGATGTTTCTTCAGTTTATTTTCAATTTTTTTTTCTCGTTTCCAAACTAGTAAAACGAACTGAATGCTGAATTGAAAATCCAATTAATGAAAATTTTTTGTTTTGTCGCCAAAACGGTCTATATATACACACACATTTTTTCTTCTTTTTGCAAAAAAAAAAAATTAAAATTTCTTCCCATGTTAATCACGAAGAATTTGTCGTTCAATATAATCGACGGTCATTGTGATTAATTTATTATTATTGGTGTTTATGGTGTGACGATAATCGTGGATGATAGTGGTGATGATGGTTGCGATTGGAATTTTGAATAATAATAATAAATCAATTATTGTTTTAATTAATGTCATTTGTTAGAAAAAAAGCTTACAGAGCTTGTTATACTTGTTTGATCCAAACAACAAGGTAAATTGAATTAGAATGATCGAGTTATAAACAGTGATTTGATTCAAATGAAAAAAAATTTCAATTCAATTAATTTTATTACACTAAAATCGCGACTATCATCGCAACGCTTTCAGAGTGTACCCAAATCAAGAATAGACACATACACACACACACACACGAATTGATGGTAAAATTATTGCCCATACTGTTGTTTTCACACCAATATGGCGATTGATGAGGATTAAAGTTTCGAAATTTTTCATTTTCTCTAAAGAATTTTCATTTATTAGAAATAGAAAATTTTCAAAGTTTTTTTCGTAAAAATATTGAAAACTTTTAAAAAAAAAAATTTTTATTTTTCAAATCATCATCGAAAATCAAATTATCAATCATCTGATCATCATTTCATCTTATCAAATCACTTATCTTAATTACATCAATCTTTTTTCAATGTTTCGTCATCTTCCTTGTTGCTGTATTTTGTTCGACATTATCCTAATATTGAATTAGAAAACATCAATCTAATTAGAATTGAATGATTTTAATAGTCAAACCATTCAACATAAATGTATCGTAGTAATAATAATACATACATAGCACATATATCAAGATTTTTTTCCGATCTGATATCTCCCAAACGATATTGATGATGATACTACTACGGTCCAGTAATAATTATTGGTGAACACACACACACACACACACACACACACACACACATAAATGCACTTATTTATTTCATTTCATGACACATGTAACATACGTTTTTTTCAATTAAACAAAAAATTTAAATTAAATTTAGTTTTAACTAATTCATCGTTTTTTAAAAAACTCGACTAAAATTAAATTGTCTGATCGATAAAAGAACTGCTTTTGTTTTTGTTTTTCATCGTCGTCGTAGTCGTCGTTGAATGGAAATTATCATTGCTTTCATTTGGATGAAACCGTTTCGATATTCAATTTTTTTTTATCGTTTCCCAAAGATAATGTTCGCCCAAATGATTATTGGATGAAATTTTTTTTTCTGAATAAATCATACGTATATAATACTACACGTTTACAACGCACAAACACAAACAAAAATATAATCCATCAACATTTTATATTTATTTAAGAAGATAAAAAAAAATCTGTCATCACGATTTGATGGCCTATTCGAAATCTTCATCCAAGGTTCGTATCAAAATGAACAAAACAAAACAAAAATTTTTTTTTAATTTTCTCGATTCTTTTCAGATTAAAATAGGAGCCGCGCTTTCTTATTGTTTCATAATAATTATTCAAAAATGAATGAATGAATGAATTTTCATGATTATTAATCATTAAAAATAATCGAAAATATAAATAACAATAAAATGATGCTAATGAAAAAAAAAATTCAAAATATTGAAAAATTGCTCATCAATATGGTAATGAATATCATCAATGTTATCCACATTGGTTTGTTGGCAAACGAACTATTTTGGCATTCTTTATCCCAATTGTCTGGTATTAAATCTTTCAATAATTCATTCGTGAATTGTTGCCAACTGCAGAATTTTCCTGTATTTAAAACTGTTCCATCATGAAATTCCAATTCATCTTGACATTTTTCAGGTAGAATTTTTTCATCTAAATTCATTATTGTACCATTAATATCCAAGAATTGTCGATAAATAAAACGGATCCATTTCTCTTGTTCATTGGTTTCATTGTGAAAAACTTCAAATACAACACTGCTAACGTATGTTGGTGGCATTTGATTAATTTTGTCCAATCGATCATACATATCCAATGCTTGTAACAATACAGCTTGATTAAAATCATGTGTTGAATATAGATAGAATCGTTGACTTGGATTCTTTTCCATTTGATCACGAATATCTTTCAATAAAAGTCCAACACGTAAACGTTGAATTTCTGGAGTATTTGACATTTTTGCGAAAATTTTTCGCTCCGTTTCGGACATAGTTTTAACAGTTTCTTTATCAGTAATCCAATCGGATACGTTCATATTTAACTGATCTCGTTCAATTTTTAACGTATCTGCTAAATCAAACAATAGTCGTATTTTTTTTACCGTATCTTCATCAGTAAATTCATCACCGGTTTTGTTGCGAAGATAATCCATAAAAGTATTATTTGGCAATAATTCTGGTGCTAATTCGTTCAATCGATCATCTCGAAGTTTTGTAGCTTTATCACATTTCGCATACATAAATAACATGTTATCATTACGTTGAAATGTTGCATTTTTATTGATTTCTTTCATAAATATATTGGCCGTTTCGATGGCACGATTAACTGTTGATGTTATAACTTGATAATTAGTTCCATCGCTTTCTTGCAATAACATTTCATAATGTTGACGATAAAATTTTGCGGCAATTTTTATCCGATTTTTACCTTGTTCGGTCATAGTACCTACACCACCATGTTGTTTCCAATAAGTTTCATCGTAAGGATCATTTGGATAGATATATAATGGATTACGATCACCATGCCGAAGAATAACAGAAACAGAATTTAAAACTAATGAACAATCGACGATTATTAACGGGAATGATAAAAAAAATGATGTAAAAAATAATTTTAACATTTTTTCTTTATTGATGATAGTGAAGACGATATACAATTTGGACAAATGATCTGAATTATGGTTTTTTTTACTGGCATTTAAATATCTTTTTTTTCTGTCATATCAAAAACAATATTGTCATGTCATATTGGATTGTAATGTTGATGAATACTTCAGACTTGTCCCAACTGTCGATAAACAAGTACGTAAAAAATGGTTGTCATGGAATTAAATGTTCCATAAATTGGATAGAAAAAAAATGGTACAATAATGATACCTCATACCATTAATAATGTCATAAATCTTTCTTTGTTTGACTTTTTTAGTATTAATAATTATATATTGTAATGCAATTATAATCACTCTATTTTAAAAATTTTATCAATTGTTACAAATTTCAAAAGGTTTTATTGACATTAAACAAAACAAAAAATAATGCTAGTTTGAATTAATGTTGTTTTCATTCCGAATGGTGATCAGAAACAAAAACAAACGTCACAAAAATCTATTGCAAAGACGATTGTAACATTTGGAACACAAACATACATACACACACACATAATATAAACAAGAAAAAGAAAATACATATCTTGATGATGGATGAATGAAAACAAAACAACAACAACAACAACAACAAAATAAGATCGAAGATTTTTTTTTCTTCTTCAATTTCATTTCATCAGTCACTCTTTCATCATTTCATCAACTCTTGATGATGATGATGATGATGATGAAGATGGCTCTAATCTTCTTCTTCGGTAATGCTCGAATTCAATTTTTTTTCCTTCTATTCTTCTTTATTCATTCATTTATATTTGTGTTGATCCATTCCATTCAAAGAAAAAACTATATATATGAAATATAATTACATTAATCTTCACTCATGGTAGTCATAATAATAATCATCATCTCGATGACCAATAACCTTGATGATCTTGAAATATAATAACGAAAAAAAATGATAGATAAAGCAAAAAAAAACGTTTTATTTCATTCGGTTTCAAGTTTTTTTTTACATCTCGTTGATAATAATAATAGAACTTTAAACGGATTCATTATTAGCCCATTGATAATGATGATGATGATGATGATGAACCGTTAAAGATTATATTCTCATGGTGACGATGTTGTTGATAAGTTCGTAAAGATTTTATGCGATTTATCCGATGATGATGGTGATGATGATTATGTTGATGATCAAGTATAGTATATATGCATACAAATTGAAATCTTTGTATTAGAAGAAAAAAAAATAGCTAAGAAAAGAAGAAGAAACACAAGAGACAAAAATGAACATTGGATAGACATTTGTATGATATTCCGATTTTAGATGAACAATTGGATTTCCTATTCAAGAATAAGAATGATTATTAGAAGATGAAGATGAAAAAAAAATACATTTATTTGATATCTTACACATTGATGGTCATTCGATTTGATTTTTCATGATGTATGATTTTTTTCGATAATAAAGTTCAATGATCAATCGATTTTTTTGTTCGGATTATCATTATTATGATCAATATGATATGGTTGATGGTCATTATGATTTGATAAAATTTTTCCATTTCACATTTTCCTCATTTCAAATTGAGATCTGTCAATCAATTAATATACACATGTTCCGAAATCCATTCCGTTTTCAGCTACCAGAAGTTAATCAAATTATTATTTCTTCACCATTGTTTCGTGTGTGTGTGTGACTCGATTTACATAAAAAAATTCATAAATGTCAAAATGAAATGTTTTTTTTTGCGGGAAACTTTCCTTTACTAAGATGTGTCGAAAAATTCCAAAACAAAAAAAATTTTTTTTTTCATTATTGTGAAAAATTTTCTTTTTTTTCAAAAATACTTGTCTACTGTTCATCATGTCATGATCAAAAAATGAAATTTTTTTTTCTCTTCTTTTCTCGCTTCCATACAACAATATCGATGATGATGATGATGATGATGATGATGATATTAATCAATATTTCGCCAACATACAAACACTTTACGTCTTACATGAATACAAAATAATAAAATTTCAAATGTCATGCGATTTTGATGTGTGTGTGTGTGTGTCGAAACAATGTGTTTTATTTTTGCATATCCAAGTGTTCATGAAGATATGCAAAAAAAAATAAAATGAGGATGGAACACTTGTTTGAATAAAAAAACAAAACAAAACAAAACAAAAAATCAACTCGTTCTTTTGTTATCACACATTCAACTCGTTCATCATCAAAAATGCAAAAAAACCTTGATTGATTTTGCCCATTTATCATATGTGATGATCATATATGATCCATTTGTTCATCCATTTTTTTTTGTTTCAAAATTTCAAAATTTGATCCATTTTTTCCTAATCCATCGGCCATCCGGAATGGCTAAACAAAAGAAAGAGAGAGAGAGAGAGAAATAAAAAAAAAAAAAATATCTTACCAGATGCATCTTTGATCCAAAAAAAAAAAATCCATTCATGTTGCAACCATTTGATTTGTCTTCCTCCAACATTTTTTCTTGTTATTGTTGATATGATTTTTTTTTTCATTTTCTGTTTTTCCTTTCTGTCTGCTTTTGTGGTTGTTTTCCATTGTTATTAAATCATCATCGAATGATGATGATGATTGAAATCGATTCAAAATTCAATGCCATTTTTGATTGACAAAGTCTGAAAAAAAATGAAAACAATATAAATCGGTTTGAAATATAAATGGCGATGACATGTACAATAATAATAATAATGTATCGATTGTGTGTGTGTTGCACATCTTTATGTTTTATGATACGTTCATCTTCATCATCATTGGAATTGATTTATTCGAACGACATTATCATCATCATTTTTGATCAATATCCATTAAAATAGATGATGATCATCATCATCAGTCAATGTGCACAGATGCAATAGCTATTTTTAAATGTATCCGTTTTCTGTGCTATTTCATTAATATTGAATGAAAAATGAAAAGAAACTATTGGGATGATAGAAAAAAAATTGCATTTTTTTCCACGATATTTAGCCATTTTGTCCACTTTTTCTGAACAGATAAATCATGTTTTCGTTCACCGGTTCTGTTTATTTATTTATCATTGAATTCTTCCTTGAATCCATGTGTTCAATTCAAAGAATTTAAATTTTTCCGCTGTTTTGTCTGTCATTATTGTTGACACTTCCTTTCTTTTTTGCTATCTTGTTATATCTGTTTATTTTAGATCTAATGAAAAGCATTTTGTTTTTTGTTTTGAATCCATTTTTTTTCTGTATGAAACAATTGTTTTTTTCTTGTGATTAAAACATTTGTTCATGGAACAAATGAAAAATATACTTTCAAGGTGGTTTACAATTTACAGTTTACAATAAAAATAAAATAAAATGTGTCCACGATGACCATTCATTCGTATGTAATTGTTATCATTGAAAAAAAAGTGTGTTGACCATTGTTTTTATATGTTTATAATACTAGCCAGAATATAATTCAGACACACATTTTAATCCATTTGTCTCCGAAATGATGATGATTATGATGATGATCATGGATTACTGTTACGGATGAACGAAACCAAACATACTGAGTGAGAAAAAAATGGACATTTTTTTCAAATAATGATGATAACAATAATAGCAAGGTCATATAATATGACCTATTCGCTATTTTTGGTTTTCATGTTCACAGCAGCAACAACAACAGAAAAGAAAATAGAAATAGAAATAGAAATTCAATTGATGGAAAAGAATTCTTTGAAACATGAAAAATGAAAAAAAAGTGAAATTGCTAATTTGAATGACATTTCATGAAACAAAAAACAAGAAATTATCAGTGAATAAATGTATATAAGTGATAGCGTGGAATACAAATTTGAAAAAATTTGAATTTGAATTTCTTCCGAATTCCATTTTAGACGACAAAAGAGAATAGATGAATGGATGATGGCAAAATTTACCATGTTAAATCTATTGTTTTAATTTTTTCTTTCTTTTCTTTCTTTCTTTCACTGTTTTCATTGTGTCAAGTAGAAACAATCATTGTTTTTTTTGGATCTTCATTTCTTGTTGTTGTTCAAGTCTTTTGTTTGTCTAATATTTGTCATTGAAAATGTTTTTCTTTTCTTTTGGACAAATTCAAAGCCAACATATATATATAAATGGATGATGATGATGATGATCGATAAAAATTGAGAATGATGATTTGATTTTTTGTTTTCACTATCAATACAGATTCTTTTGCTCTTTTTTTTCTAATGACATTCAATTACATCGAATAGGAGTTTATTTATTATTGATTGTAAATGGCAAAATTCAATTTTCGTATATATTGGTTTGTTCAATGTGGTCAAACACAAACAAGTGTGTCACATTTATAATAGTCAACAATTTTCAAATAATTCATCACATCAAAATTGAAGGCCTATTTCTTTCTACTTTTTTTATTTTGATCGAATCATTTTAATTTGTTCATTCGTTTGACGGTATTGATCATCAGGAAAAAAAAAGTTGGTCAATCATGTGTTTATTATGACAAGCGATGATGGTCCTTTTCTGAACATCATCATCATCTTGGATAAAAATAATAGAGTTGACAAATGAAAATCACTCTATTCACTCTTCACAACATTTTTCATTTCAATTTCAAGGTAATCAAATGAGTCAACTCTTTTTTTTATTTTTTATTTTGTCATTTCATTCCATTCATTCTGTTTTGTTCTCGTGTTTGTACCTGTGTTATTACTTTTTTTTCACTTGTTTATAAACCACAAAAAAAAGTAAAAGTCACAAAAGAAGAAAACAGAGAAACAAAACCATTACACACAAAACTTATATATTATCATCATCCATTATCTTTCTTTAATTTTGTCACCATTTGTTATTGTGTGTTCATCTATGTCACATATTTAACAATCATGATGTTGATGATGATGATGATGACCGATTATCGCAATCATTTTATTTTTCGTATCATCCACATTGGAAGAAAAATGAAACAAAACTATTGAATTGACAATTTTTGTTGTTCTAAAAATGCCAAGCAAATGTTAGTAAATTGATTGATGGTATTATCTGGTTTTTTATTGATGATGATTACAATCATTGCTTGGAATTCACACTTTTTACATCAATTTCATTGAATTGTTTAGAATTTCACACTTAAAATTAGAGTGTTTGCAGAGGGTTTTGGTTTCACAAATTTTGTTCTTATTTTTATTTCAATTTCCATTTACAAAAAATAAAATAAAAACTTGCTTCCATCGTGATTTGATCGTTGTGGTGGTTCGTTTTGTGTTCATCGCCAATATATACGCATTGAAAAAGGATGAAACAAAAAAAATTGATTTACGAAATCATAAAAAAAAGTTTTGAAATTTATTTAAGAAATTAAAAAAAAAATTTCATTTTAAATCCATGAATAACGGAGCGATCTTGATGATGACAAAATCGATCATAATATTTGTAAAACAATCAATCATGATAATGATGATGATGAATGAAATAAAAACTAATTTCCTTGAACAATTCATTCAATTCGATGATGATGTTCAAGCGAAATACATATAATAATAAAATAAAAAATCAATAGCGATTCTCGTGCACATAAATATGTGTTTTTGCTTCATTAACTGATACGATTCGATAATAAAAAAAAAATTTCTGCCCCCCACCACCACCACTACTAATTCAAAGTATATGTTAGACATGCATAGTGGACAATATTAGAAAAAAAGAAGATTCAATCAATGAAATGATTTGAAAAATAAACGATGATGGCCATTGATCATTGATAATGAAAATGTTTTTGTTGTTTCGAATCGATAATTGTCAAGATAATAGTTTTTTTTATTTTCTATTATCATCATCATTATTATTACAAATATCATTGTTCAATGATGATCATGATCATCATTGAATTGATCATCATCATCATCATCCGAATCAAAAAAGAATCCAATTTTCAATCATTCGATTCTCAATTTATGTTTCGTTTTTTCTTTCTTTTTTTTTACTTTCTTTACTAGAAAAAATCGAATACTTTCGATCATTTTGTTGTTGTTGTTGTTGTTTTTGTCTTGAAAATGATGATTGTGATGAAAGTGATTGGCAATTGACAATAACGATGAAAAGATTTTTTTCCATCGTTGTTGTCGTTGTTTTGAATTAAAAAAAAAATTTGAAGTTCCAACAAGAAATTGAAAGCCATACACACATTGTGTGATCAACAATATTGTAGTACAATTGTTCGATCAGGGGAGGAGGGGGAAGGTGAGGGAAAAAAATGATTTGATTCAAAATCGATGTCAAGGTTTATTCGATTATCATATTCCTGTGTGTGTGTGCGTGTTTGGTTCCATACAAGTGATATATGTTTGTATGGGATTTAAAAAACATTTATATTTTTTTTCTATATCATCAATAAATTATGATGATTATTAATAATATCGGGAAAAAATTTGTGTGTGTGTGTGATTTATGATTTC